GTTCTACTTTACATTTATACCACGCCACATCAACTGTTCGCGGTAATAGATAGCTATCAAAAGTTAAAATAATCCTCCCTGTAGGAGAGCGTGTTTTTCCGTCATCATTTAGTTTGGTTAATTTATATACTTCAGTCACTCCTTGAATGCCCATTTCGCGAACAATTTCATCTTCCGGCACATGCTTTAAGCAACGGGCATAAATTACGCCTCGAACCGAGTTAAGTTTCTCATGTAGTTTAGCTGAAATAGCACATAGATTAGCTAAAGAATTGGCCTTTATTAGTTTTTCGGTTGCGCGCGGGTTCCCAGCGAGGACCAGTAAATTTCCATCGCGTAGAATCGAGATCGAGTCGATGTATGTTGTAATGCTATCTAGAGCTTTTTTTATAGCAAAAGGGCTAATTTGGGAAATTGTTATTCGAGCATCGGTTGAAGAAATAACAATATATTTTTTATCAATAGGGATTATATCGCTGATCGGCAACACCGGAAAATCTGATTTTTTACTTTTTTTTCTTTGGGGGGATGTATCACTTAATAGATAAAATCTATTCGGGTTTTTGTCTGGCGGCCCCGGGGCCATTATGCCTTATTGTTGTCTATTTATTATTATTTTTGAAATAACCACTCACTTGAAAAGGTTTGGGAACTGTGCAAGAAGGTTGGGAACTATTAAAGAAAAGTGTCAAATGTTTTCAATTTTTTTTTTTTTTTTTTTTTGTTTTTTTGTTTTCTATTTTTTATTATATATAGACGAAACAAAAGCACATACGCGATATCCGCGTTAACCAGTTTTAGCAATAGCACTGAAAAGACCGAAGTTAAATACACAAAAACACCGAAACAATTGAAAAAACGCAGACGGATAGAAAACACGCACTACACTGAACACAAGTCGACTCGTCTATGTGTATATCCATTTTAATTTATTAAACTCTGTTCAATCCATTTTTTAATTTTTTCTCCAGTTTTTTTTTTTTAATTTGTTATGAATACTGTTTATATAAATTTCAAGTGGCTTGTTTTGCGTTGTATCGACCAATGTCATATAAGAAACTTTACATGATTTTGTGTAACACAAGTGTTTGTAAATTTTATCATTTTAACGGGAAGGTAAGAGCTCTTTTTTCATTGCATTAAATTTTGTATCTTCCTTTTAAAATTACTATCGCCCAGTCTATTGTTGAGTAAGGCTTAGAGTGTACTTTATTAAATGTCACTCACATGGCTCTTTGAAACCGTTTCTACAAGGCGTAAATCTCCAAGACTGCAAAGGATAACCTGAACCATTTACTCAATTACACTATAAATATTATATACCTTAGATTTTTACATTACCAAATATATGTACATACATTAACTACGTAATAATTAAGAAGCCTGGAATGTGGAAGAAAATGACTAATTCCATCTTTTCTCGCTATATAAAGTCGATATTGGCGAGCGTGCGATCTAGGTTATTCGATAACCTTGAAATCCAATAAATAAATTTACAAAATATATAGGCAATAAATAAATAAATAATTTAAATTATTTTTTTGTGTTTTTTGCGAAGTTAAACTTTTAAATGTACTTACTTTCTTTAGTTTGTATGTATTTAAATAAATTAAAACAGTTTATTTGCATTATTTTTTTACCTATTTCATTGTTTTTTTTCTTGCCTTTCTTTTCATTTATTTGCGTTCGAATTGTTATTTAGACACTAATCACAAATATTCCGTTATGTCTCGATCGAAACAGTGTTCTCGATCTGACACCAGTCGAGTTGTACGATACTATCCAGCATAACTCCCGAACTTCCGAGAATTATAAGTCGCTTCCTGGTTTGATGTGACTTATGATGTGATTGAACTTATATCAATTTTTCATTGACTTTACTTATGTAAAATCATAAAATTTGTTAAAGAATCAAACATGAATAACGTAGGATTAGATCAAATCATAAATATAGGAATTAATTCCCACAAGAACTGGTAAACGTATACAACCAATTCGGTATGTAAAATAACAGGCATTATCAAGGGCATTTGCACGATTGAGATAATCCAGTGTTCAAGCAACTTCTATGGACATTTACGGCGAACATGTTCTAAAAGCTTCGCTCATCACATAAATAGAAATACTAAATTTCTATTAAACTTATTTTAGTTCATTTTCTTGTCAACCACCGGGTTATGTATTAATCGATCCTAGCTTAAAAAACGGGCAATCAATATTAGTTTAATACGACAAACGAAAGATGTATCCTTATAAAGCACTACTCTATATCCAGTTGGCTCTGAGTTACATATCAACTATTTCTATGTCCGTTTTTATATCATTATTAAGTTCTTAATTCTTTCTAATGAATTATTTGGTGGTTTAACATTTTTCATTCCTCTAATAATTTAAATTTATTAAATCATTATAAACAATTAATTTAACTTAGATGTAGATAACAATTGCTGATGGTTTTTTATCTTAATATTTACGTACAATAGCCCTACATTTTTAGGTTTCTTGTGGCAATTAATTGTTAGAACCAGGCGAGTGAGTTTTCTTGTTGTATTCTACTAGTTAGCTTTAGAAGTAATTACTGTGATTTTAAAACAGTGTTCATTTTAGGTGTTTGGTCTATGAATCCAGATGTTTGCTACCTAACTTTTTGGTTTATGTATGTGGATGTGGATTCACGAGGATTATGGTTCAGCTATAAAATAAAGTTTTTTACTATAACATTTCTATTCCGTCAGTCAGTCATTTTGAGATTAGATTTCAAACATAATTGTATTACAGACCCTCTTACGATTAATTTGTCAATGCTTTCTCTCCCATTTTTTTGTATTATTTTTCAATTTACATTTAATTTATAATATTACGACTATCGGCAACACCTCATAACTGTTATTGCTTTTCACACATCTCTGTAAACTGTAGTATGAAGTATGCATCGGAAACTTTATGCAATATGCGTATTTGAAGAAATATGGTCGTCAAAAAGAAAAATGTCCCCTTTAATTAAAATCTATAGCGTGAGAAATGAAATTTCAAACTTTGTATAACTTTTGTTGGAATTACAGATAAAATAAGAACGCGGTAATTCCAGTGTAAGCAAACATATTCTTAATCAAATTAATTTTTTAGTCAATCTGGACTTGCATGCCGGAAACGATAATCGCAGACTTGAAAATGTCATGTACAAAGTCATCGTAGATAGAAATGAATTGGTGCGCCACATCAATCAGTTACAGCAATGTTGGAAGAAAGAAAATGTGTGAAAGTAACAGAACTAAAAGAATAGAGATGTTTATTGAACTTTGTATCTATTAGAAGCGTGTTTTTTTGTGCTGGACACCACGTATATCCATCACCTTTTTGTAGAAAAAGGTAAAAAAATCAATTTTCAACACCCTGGGTTATAGGGTGGGCACGACAGATTTTTTGTGTTGTTTTACGCATGCTCTAGAACGCTTACTGATATATTTCTCGTTATATCTGTTTTATCATATGAGAAATAAGAAACAAACCCATTTTTTTCCTTTTCAGCTTATGTTGCACTGTGAGTCTCCTTTGAGGGATTTCGCTTCCAATTTTTCTGCCACATTTGTAGCCAATAGATCAAATTAGCGATCAGGACAGGACACCACACAGGTGAACACAGAGATAGACGGACAAATGAAGTTATTTAAATAAGTTCAGAATGTGGTACTGATCTGAAAACATATACTTTACAGCGCTAGTGAAACGTCTATTTTGCAAACGCTTCGACAAAACGAACATATGCCGATCCTTCGGTATAAAAATGCTAGACTGCTTCAAACATATACCAAGTTTGTGTAATAGCTTTGCTGAAAATTTTTAAAAGCAGTGGTTTTTGTGGGAAAATGACAACCTGAGTTGGTTAAAATTAAAATTTTTTTTTTTTAAACACAGAACTATGAATTGAAGATTCGAATGCATATTTTTGAAATGATAAGCAAGCAGAGTTTCAATATTTCTTAAAAATGATCTACCAAATAACCTAAATCTAGATAATTATTCAGTTTGTAATATCGTAAGCTTTGATTAATTACACTCACAAGTACACTTAAACCTATCTACATGCACAATTTTCCATTATTCAAAAAGTTACCACAAGTAATTCCTGAATACGTAAAGTGGAAAAGGATGTGTTATATGGACGCACATACGTCTCAAAGATATGAGGCATCTCTATAAAATAGTTTCTGTACAAGAATCAAAAAACAATTGGATTTTATTTAATATTTCATATAAAAAAACGTGTAAGCATCTAAGCATGTGCTCATTTAATTCTGAATTTCAATTTGGGCTTTATGAATTTCAAGAAGATTTGTGATTGTCAATGGATCTTTGTAATTTGAATGGAGAACTTATGATTGTCAACAGACCACCTTCAGCTTTTAATTCACTGTTTTTGACTGTCAGATCATGCACATTTTCGATAATGTGCAATTTTAATCTCCTAGCTCAATTTCTGTAAAATGTGCGAAAATTATTCAAGCACACAAGACAAATATTGCTGAAAACACAAAACTAAAAAGATTGACGTTCCAACTCACAAAGAAGAGCTTTTAAGGTGGGTGGTATATTTTAAAAAGGAACAAATGGTAAATCTTTTTATTTTCCTGATTACAGCTTTAAGTAATAATTTTTAAGTGCGATTTTTCGAAAATAGAAGGTTTTTAGAAAATGTATTAGATATATGAGATACACCAAATGCGACGTGAACCAAATAACAGGCTTAACATACATTCTTAAACCTATCTTTTCTAAACAGTACTCTCTTGCAGCAATATTCTCCGTACTTTAAAATGCATAAGCTACTAATTTCAATAGTTGCCTTCAAAAAGCGCTTTAGATTAAAATTTTATGAAAATTTGCATATAAAAATGTGCGACTAATTAAAATAAGTGCCATGTGTGTCTACCGACAATTGTGAATGTCAACTGAAACCTTCTTATGTTCAATTACAGTGGGACTAATATATTCTGAGAATGTTTTTTTGGTTTCACCTTGTTTGTGTTTGGGCAGACGAACGGATGGACAGATGCACAAAGGAAAAGACGAACGTACTTAGGTGTAATCCGATTGCGAAACTAGCCTAGAATTTATATATTTTTTTTGGGGTTTTTAAAGCATGCTTTTGATGGCTATAAAAGTATTGAAAAAATTTGTAACTTTGATACACTGTAATATTGGGTAGGCGTAGTAAATTTTTCCCAGCTTTGCACAGGTACTACAGTATCGTCTACACAACATGCATTGAAATTTTTGCAGATTTACCAGCTATTGTTTACAAGCAATAAACAATTTGTTCGTGCTTTGGAAAAACAGAGATGTTCTCAGTTTACGTGACACTGTAAACGTGCCCTTCAAACGATTTGACCAATTCTCAATACCACCCTGCGCAGAAGAACTTCCAACGTTTCTGCCAAATTTGAAATCGATAGCTTCATTTTTGCGCCCACGCGAATGTTTACAGCAGACATTAAATGGAGGGACACACACACATGCTTAAATCGATACAGAATTTGATGGGGATGAAGAATACATACACTTTCCCACTCTGTCGCTTCCTTCTGGGCGCTGTAAACATTTTGACGTCATTCTTCGGTGATGTGTATAAAAATTGAACATGAGGTGCAAGAGGGAGGTTCTTTCCAAAAAAACCAGCTTGATGGTGACAACACCCGAGAATACCCATCAGAGACTTAACCTTTCCCAACTAATCCGAGAAACCAATGAAAACCAATGGATAGCTCCTCCCACCTCCTTGCTAAAAAAACAGAAAATTTAATTGTGCCGGTGCCGAATCAGCCAACTCATGCGAGCAAGTATAAATGATCCGTTGTTGCTACACCAAAAGGTCAATCTCGAAATGGAAGACACACGGGAAGTCGGCTAAAAAGAAATTCATCTAAATTTCGTCAGTACTAAAATATGAAAGTCCAAAATACTCATGACAAGAAGGCAATGTCAAGATATCTACTGCAAAAGAGAGAAAAAAACTCAGAAAAAAAAACTGCAAAAAACCAGCCGAACGAAAATGGTGGCTATATCAACGGCATAAAATATGGAGGACTCATGGTAAATCGTAGGGAAAGCTACGAAACGTTAAAGTAAGAAAAAGACTATTGCGCAAAACAAAAGCAATCTTTATTGAAAAAAATAGAAATTTCGACTACAGTGATGGAATAAATTAGAGGCGATAGTGCCGAAGACACGAAACCGTGAAATGTTCATAGAGCGGGGCAAACATACTTTTAGAAATATCTTTACATATGTCTTCGATTTTTAAAAGCAAATAAACGAATTTTCTGCTATCTGTTATATATGAGACTCAGCAGCATCTCAGAATAACAAAAGTCTGATTCGTTAGTACAAACGTGGCGACATTATCCGCTCTGCTAATATTATGCATACTCATTCTTCGAATATTTATTATGGAACTAGAAAATATCTCATATCGATTCCTAAGAAGCAATTATCTTTAAAGAATGCATTTGCATGCGTAGATTAACACAATATAACAAGGGCGCAAAGACGTCACGAAAACTGTGAATACATTGTGATCGTTCGTATTAATATTAATAAAGGACGAAGTGAAAAAAACGAAAAGCACACATATTTATTTATGTAAATTGTCGATCTAAGAAAACTTTGTTCCGAAATTGTTTAAAAATTGTACCAATTAAGATGCTGATGGGAGAGGAATTGAGTAGGATTGACTGTGTATCTTGTTAAATCATAATAAAATAATACCGGTCAATTAATCTATATTATGTCTATAGCGTCTTAAGCGCGCGCTATTTTCCAATTTTGGAGCGCCAGGTGGTGGCGTAATATCATTACGTATCATTGGACTATCCATTTGATTAAAATCCTGCACTAAATTTAGCAGCAAAACGTCCTTTTCAGTACGTTTGCCTTGCAGTTGTTCATTATCTTCAAATAAAGCAGGAGCTGTGGAAGTAGCCGCTTGTTCAGTGTCGGCGATTCTTAATGGAGCACTTGTTGCTTCAACGCTTATAACACCACCACTGCCACCACTTACATGCTGGTCTTCGCTGTTATCTGTTGAACCATCTTCAAATTGTCCCAAGAACATTGTGGGTACTCCTCGAATTCTGCATAAAAAGAACATTGTAGTTACTCTATCGGATCTTATAATAAAACAATAAGAAGATCACTGAGCTCCGGTTTGTTTAAAACCCGGCAAAGACCTCAAGATCGACAGTGATCAACTCTTCAACCTTATATGACAAAAAATAAAAATTAAATATCTTACCGACTAGAATTTTTTGAATAGGGCCGTGAAAACCTTAAGTTTGGCTGTGCTGGATCTGCTGTATATTTATCCGCGGGATCACGCCGCCGTCTTAAAGCTGCATAGAATTTGAACGACTTCATTTATAATACATTTCAACAGAATCAACTTAAAATCAATTCGCTTTCATTTCTTAAATAATTGTTTATTAAAGCAAAGCAAAAAAAAATGTTTACAAAAATAAAAACAAACCCATTGTGTAAATAAAAAGTGCCATTTATCTAAGCTTCGCTATTGTTCTTTCTTAGAAATTACATCCAAATGTTCCAAAGTTATGTAATGAATGCATCATTCTTGATTGGGAATCCTTGAAAATAATTTACACATAGGTACCTAAATAGCGTTCAATGGTGGTGAACGTTCGAGATAGTTAAAGACTGTCAAAAATTGACAAAATTATCGCTCAAGCTCTGTGTGAATCGGTGAATACGTCAAGCAGAAGGTTGACCGCAGATTTAATGTTTACCCAAGATGGAAGAAAAACATCAAGTCACCAGCCGATATATATAACGACAAAATTGCATGATTCGATTTGTTACGCCATCTGCCATATTCGCCACTTCCCACTTCCAACGACTGTTATCTGCTGATGAACGTCAAGAGCATATTCCAGGGAAAGGGATTTGGATCAAACGATGAAGTCATTGTGGAAACTGAAGTGTGTTCCGGTTCGTTCATTCCTTAAATGTAAAAATTTGAATAGATCTTCTGAAATTCTTCTTTTGCAGACGCCACCAAAAATGCGCCCACAAGAGCTAAAAAACTGAAACAATTTAAGAAAAACCTGGTCATTTTCAAATATTTTCACCCTCAACCTGTGGTCTGTAGACGAAACCAATATAAAATTGCTTAAACCACTGCTTGAAGCTGGCTTTAAATAAATTATTTAAGAGATAAGCGAAGACGTTATAGAAAGTCACGGCCCACCATTAAATGCCTTATACCACTTATGTACATACATATGACGGCTTTCTGAATTGATCGGTACAATAGAAAGTGCGTCTACGTCAAGACTTCATCCGCATAAACTTAATATATTCTTACATCAAAAGTGGTGTAGGATATAAAAACCGAAAGAGTATATTAATTATTTTAAAGACAGTTAGCAAGAACACAACTCTTTTTTGTGAAGGAAGATTTCACAAGAAAGAAAAAGCAGAGCAAGAAGAAATTTTAGCATTTGAATTAAAAGTAGTAATAACAACTGTTACTGTTGCATGTCCGTAATATATTCTTTAAAGACACACAATGGAATAAATAACTTTAAAAAGTAATTGAAATATAGTGCTGAAATTCGGCAGGTGTATTTAATTTTAAACCAATATTACAAAAGTTAATACCAAAAATTTTTTTGTACTTTGCGTGGTTTACCCCTTTGAAGTGGGTCCCGAAACTAAGTAGGAGGTTGACCTACATTCATCGCATTTTTTGAAACTTGCACTAATCAACGACTACATCTCCCGTTTCCGAACGCAAACGCGGCGTAAATTGTCACATTGACGCGCTCTAGTTATTAACAAACGAAAACTTTTTATAATAATTTATGACCAAATGCATTTCCTCATGCAGTACAGTACTCTTTTCCGGAAGATCGGACTTTTATTTACCATTCAAGGGAAACCATACGGTAGTGGTAGCGATACGAGGGAGGATTGGTATGAATTCCGTCCGAAAAAGTTGTGTCGCTGCTGTCGTTGCGTTAACATGGTGATGTGAGAAAACAAAATAAACAACGAATCAAACACTAAACGGAGAGACAAGGCAAGAAGAACGAATAAGAAGAAGAATTTTGTAGGTTAACCAAGTGAAACGGCAAAAACGCGAGAATCGATAGAATGTCAATGACTGCATAACTATAACTGAATGCGGAATATAAAAGACTCTTATGTAGGGATGTATGAAGATATGGAACAGAACCACACCCATTAAGGTAAACCTATATGATTGGGAAAAAAACTCCAAATGTCAGTCTAATTCAATGTATATAATGTAAATTCTCAGTGTTTAAAGACCATATGATCGGAAGATCGATATAAAAAGTATAGTCAAGTAAGATAGCGTTCCGTATGGAAGGCGCAATAATACGTATGGAAATGGGTAATACTGGTCGAAGCATAGATTTTACATGTTTTGAATTCAAAGGGTGTTACCCTAGGGAGAGTTCTGTTAAATCAATATGAGTAAAGATAATATATGTGTTGATATAAAATAAACGGTTAAAATCGGTTTAAAGAGAAGAAAGTGTAGAATTCAGTTGGCAGATTGTTGTGAATCGTCCCTCTCAGAATGGCAATTCTCGCAAGAATAACTATTCTTACATAGGACGTCGTGGACTATGCTAAGATTCTACTTCTAAATTGGGGAGATTTAACATGCAAAACATCAAAAATTAACAATTTTTAAACCCAGGAAAAGCGTGATAGGTAAAGTTTCTGCAAAATCTGTTATATTTGAAGGTGCCTACGGCGTGTTGCCTAAACTTGACTTCACTTTGTCGAAATTCAATTTAACCGCTTTGAACCTTGATACCTAGGGAATAACGCATACGCTTGACGCTCTCTGTTCTTATCCAAACATACCTTGCATATGTTGGATATTTACTAATAATTGTTTTCTTTGATTCACATTTTAAACAAATTTTTCATGGTTTGCGCTTTATTACAATGTATATTAGAAAGACGAGGAATTTATTATTAGATGAAAAGTTAATGCTATTATAAAATCTCCATCAACAAAAGCCTCTATGTCTCATTCAAAAGCAATGTGGACACCATGGAAAGGTGCTGATCAAATTTTTTCTCTATTGGATACGAACTAAACTTTTCTTGACAGATAGAACTAAACGGCTTGTTAACGGAAGACTCGAGTTTTCATTTCATTTAATCTTGAAAAATCGTCAGGAGCTATGTTGCAAAATTCAGCGGAATGTACAATCTTGGTAGTAAATTGACTACCCTTAATTTCAATGACGACATTAATGTAAGCGAATCTAGACTCGACTATGTTTGTTAAGCGCGAAAATTTTGCTCAACATTCCATAAGACAAAAAGCATTGACAGAAACTCGTAAATATCGAAAGGAATTCCCTTTAGTGGCAGTTTGCACATATCGTTTGGATGCACGGCGATTCTACCGTACGCTTTAGGAACCTATATGGCTATGTTTTTGCATGATTATTGCTGAGAGAGACGTTATAAATTTGACAGAAATCATCAACGAGATTTTAAGATAAGATTTTCATGGGGATATTAGACAAGTCTCTGCACTAACCAAACGTACGTTTTGTAGGTCAAACAAGACATCAAAACGACGTAAATATCTAAAAATATAATGCACTTGTGACGTCAGTCATTAGAATCAGACATGAAAAACATCTGCGAAGCACACGCTCTTTGCATCGGACCACCCGTAGGTGAAAAAATGTTCTTTGGAGGATACAAATTGTACAGAATGATGGGTGCGTTAGAGTCGGTGTCAACACCATGCAAGAACCATGTTTGCGTGGTTGAACACATTCAATAGATATTTGACGAAGCTTACCGTGGTACAAACATCAAAATGATGATGTCTCGAACGTAGTTTTGAGCGACTTTTGTTTTCGAGCTTTCCAAATTTCTTGTACGGAGCCCTTTTTGTCCAAAAATGCGATTCAAAGAAGAAAGGAAAATTGTCTGACGGCATGTCCAACGGCATGTCTAACTGAACTATAATGGTCTCATCTTGTTGTCGGATTACTGAAAATATGGGTAGAATGTTTTCTGTTCTGTTATTTCTTTGCCAAATGTAACGAATGTATAACGTCATCGTTTATTTGTCCTGAGAAAGTGAGGAGGTATCTGCTTACTTAAAATTGAACCACCCAAAAGCCGTTTAAGCCAAAGGGCTTAAATATGATTGATATTAACGCCCGAGTTGATAGCGTGTTCCTGATTTAGTAAAGGTTTTGGTAAAGCATTACGTAGTAAGCTAATAAGGCACAGAGTTGTGTTAACGCAAAATGTCAACGATGCTGGGGTCATGAAGAGTACATACGTCCAATTTTCGAAGTGTGGAGTGGCGACTGGAAGTGGCAGTATTCGGACAGACAAATATGATATGGTCCGGATATTTTAAAACGCCATATGTACATAAAGGGCTATTCACTGTGTTAATTTTGAATAGATGATCATTACATCTCATGTGGTTAATCATCAGCCTCTTAGTAAGGCAAATAATGTCCCATCTGAATTCTTAATTGATAAACCAAGGAGCTTTATTTGTTTATGAAAATAAAGAGTGTAAGTAATGACCATAAGATGAATTATTCCATTGCTATTGACAAGAAAAAACTGAATGTTTTTTCTCGATTGCGGTCAAATCTGCAAAACTTAGAAAACGATGATTAACATGAGATGGTCTGGAAGATGCAATTTTATCTGCAGTAGTGTTGCCAAGCATGCCCATATGATTGAGCACCAAGAAAAAATGGAAACAAAATGTATCAGATTTGAGGCCATAAAGTAAATATCCGATTTCTAAAACATAAGGATGGGATTTACCTGAAAGAAACGATTGCAAAGCGGATAAAACATATATACTTTCTGATACTATAAGGAATTTCTTTTGAGGCTGAGTACTCGCTAAGCGGATGACTTTTAGGATCCCAAACCACCGAAAATAAAGGTGGGTGGTTTGAGAAGTAAGCTTCTATGTTAATACTTGGAAACCAAAAGTCGCTACCTACAACAACCGTCTTAGACACGTCAGTAAAGATGAGTGACAAATGCTTCCAATCGGCAGTGACCAGTGGGTAGTGTTGATGCACTTCCGCCGGTGTAACTGAGGATTTTTTTGCTGGTAAGAACCTAATTACTGGCTGAAAATATTGCGAATCAAGAGGAATTTTGAATAAGCTACGTACATCAGTTCTAAGAATGTTGAAATTATTAATTTTCTTAGTAAAAATTTTAAAAAAGAAGGAGAGGAATTCAGTGACATAAAGTCATAGATGAAACGTAAAGTCGGATGATTCTCAAAAGATAGAATTTTATTAGATGAAAAATTGACGAATAAACGAAA